TAGTTTTCCATTTTTTCTAAACAATAATCTCACAGTGCTGGTGGCGACTTTCTGGTAAGTCCTCGTTCAACACTGGCGGTTCTCTTCTCTTCTTTGCTCCTACTGCTGAGAAATGAACTCATCTAATAAGTATATATACACACGCACACCATTTTACTGTAAAGTCCACCTTGATTACGAATTCACTGTTAGAAAACAAGCGAGTACTCGCCACTAAAATTTTCAAACTTTTGAACGTTGAACGTTCAAACTTACACTTCTGTTTCCACGTCTCAATTTCCATCCTCCCGCGTTTACACGCCATTTGATTCTCTCTTCAGATCTGCTTCCTTGTCACCCCCTGCAACTTTCGATTACACCACCCACCATCAAAATGGTTCCAACTCACTTCTTCTTCTTCTTCTTCTTCTTCTTCTTCTTCTTCCTCTTCTCACACTTGTTTTGTCCTGCAAACTCCCAAAATCTCTACGATCAAGAACATCAAGTCCTGCTCAAACTCTTCCAGCACTGGGAAAACCCGTCCTCCATTCAACACTGGATCTCCACCAACTCATCCTCTCACTGCACCTGGCCAGAAATCATCTGTACCCAAAACTCAATAACCTCTCTGCTAATCTATGATTTAGGCATCAGACGACCAATTCCTGACTTCATTTGCGACCTCAAAAACCTTACTGTCCTCGATCTTCAGTACAATTACATACCCGGAAATTTTCCTACACTTCTATACAACTGTTCTAAGCTTGAGTACCTTGACCTCTCTCAGAACTACTTTGTTGGTCCGCTTCCTAATGACATTGATCGCTTGCATCGCCTCCAATATCTCAGCCTTGCTGCTAATAACTTCTCGGGTGATATTCCGCCAGCCATAGGGAGTCTAAAGGAATTGAGGGATCTTCATCTTCACCAGAACCAGTTCAATGGTACCTTCCCCCCAGGAATCGGCAACTTGTCTAAGCTTGAAAGGTTGTATTTGGCTTACAACACTAAATTCCAGCCATCCAAGTTGCACTCTAGTTTTACCCAGCTGAGAAACCTCAAGGAGCTGTGGATTTCAGATTCAAATTTGGTGGGTGAACTGCCTGAGACGATGGGGGACATAGCAGCCCTGGAGAAACTGGATTTGTCAACCAATGGTTTAACAGGAAATATTCCCAGCAGTTTGTTCACGTTGAAGAATCTGAGACAAGTTTACCTGTTTAAGAACAATCTATCAGGAGAGATTCCGCAAATGATGGAGTCCTTAAACTTGACCGAGCTGGATCTTTCAGAGAATAACTTATGGGGGAAAATTCCAAATGACATTGAGAAGCTCAGCAACTTATCAGTTCTGGTTCTCTTTTCTAATAAATTATCAGGTGAAGTACCTGAAAACATAAGCCGAATTTCAACACTAAAAGATGTTAGATTGTTTGACAACCGTTTAACGGGAATTCTGCCTCAGGATTTTGGAAGATACTCGTTTCTTGAGGCATTTGAGGTTGCATCCAACAGGTTCACCGGCCAGCTACCTCAACACTTGTGCTATGGTGGTAAGCTGCAAGGAGTGGTGGCTTTTGATAATAATCTGATTGGTGAATTGCCAGATTCTCTTGGTAATTGTAACAGTTTGGTCACTGTTATGATTCAAAACAATAAGTTCACTGGTAAAATTCCTGTTGGGTTATGGACATCACTCAATCTTTCTGTCCTGATTGTCAATGACAATTTGTTTACGGGTAAGCTTCCCGATAAATTGTCCCATAATCTTTCGCTGATTGACATTAGTAACAACATGTTTTCTGGGGAAATTCCCATGGGAGCCAGTAGCTGGGTGAATCTTGTTGTGTTCAAAGCTAGCAATAACCTCTTTAATGGTACCATTCCAAGAGAATTAACAGCTCTTCCTTCACTTACTACTCTTTTGCTGGATCGGAATCAACTTGTTGGCTCTCTTCCATCAGATATAATTTCTTGGAAGTCATTAGCGAATCTAAACCTCAGTGGAAATCAGCTTTCTGGAAAAATTCCAGAACAAATTGGTGTTTTGCCAGTCTTGAATGAATTGGACTTATCAGACAACCAACTTTCTGGCCAAATTCCTTTTCAAATTGGCCTCCTCAAGCTGACTTCTTTAAATCTCTCTTCCAATCATCTCACTGGGAAAATTCCAAATGAGTTTGAAAATGAGGCCTTCTCCACTAGCTTCTTGAACAACCGCGGTCTTTGTGCCAGCAGCCCAGATCTAAACCTCAATGCCTGCAACTCCAGACCCCAAAAATCATCTAGAGGTTCTTCCCAGCATCTTGCTTTGATTTTATGTATTGTTGTAGCAGTATCTGCATTGTTGCTTACGTTCCTCATGATCAAAGTATGCTGGAAAAGAAATAATGGACTTCACTCAACATGGAAACTCACCTCATTTCACAAGTTAAACTTTACAGAATGCAACATTCTCTCAGAACTGAAAGAAAATAACATGATTGGAAGTGGTGGTTCGGGGAAAGTATACCGTGTTGCATTAACCAATTCATTAGTTGTTGCAGTAAAGAAGATTTGGAATAATAGGAAGTTAGAGGAGAAACTTGAGAAGGAGTTTTTTGCTGAAGTTGAGATTCTTGGGACAATCAGGCATATGAACATAGTGAAACTGATGTGTTGTGTTTCCAGTGAGAATTACAAGCTTCTTGTCTATGAATACTTGGAAAATAACAGCCTAGATCAGTGGCTGCATAGAAAGAAACTGCCATCATCACCTACTGCTTCTCAGCTTGTTCTAAATTGGCCCAAGAGGTTACATATTGCAACTGGGGCTGCCAAGGGGCTCTGCTACATGCACCATGGCTGCTCACCACCCATTGTTCATCGAGATGTGAAGTCAAGCAACATTCTTTTAGATTCTGAATTTAATGCCAAAATAGCTGATTTTGGTCTAGCTAGGATGCTGATCAAGACTGAAGAAGTTGCAACAATGTCAACTGTGGCTGGTTCTTTTGGATACATAGCTCCAGGTAACTAATATAACAAGCCCCTAATGTTGGTTGCTTTGTCCGCTTCATTTTGCCTAATGTAACTTCATTTGTGTTTTAAATTTAAATTGCAGAATATGCTAGTACGACAAAGGTAAACGAGAAAATTGATGTCTATAGCTTCGGGGTAATCCTGTTGGAGCTGACAACAGGAAGAAAAGCGAATTATGGAGATGAGCATACAAATCTTGCAGATTGGGCATGGCGTTATATTGAAGAAGGGAATCATATAGCAGATGCTTTGGATGAGGAGATCAAGGAAGCTTGTTATGTGGATGAGATGAGCAATGTGTTCAAACTTGGGATCATTTGCACTAGCAAACTGCCATCTTCCAGGCCCTCGATGAATGAGGTTGTAGAAATTCTACTGCGAAGCAACTGTCTGCATTTTTACAGGGAAAAACCTAATGGAAGTGAGTATGACGCAGACCCTCTTCTCAAGAATTCAAGCCGGGAGCAGTGGTTAAGAAATGCAGATGCTACTTTGGCATATCAAGTGTGAAGTTTGTGTATCAGGATGCCTTTGGGTGTGAAACTATGAACAGGAGTGCAGGGAAACTAGTAAAGTCAAGGTGAAACTAGGATACATGAAGCAATAACTAGATGGTTTAGTGTTTCATTAAAAGCTTTGTGATTATTTTAACTGTGAAAATTTTTAGATCCCTAGCAAAGATGCTCTTTGTCATATCCCAATATGTTTAGATTATCTAATTTTTTACCTTCATCTCTGCAAAGATGTTTATCGGTTTAAAATTGAACCATGATGAGAACCGAACTAAAAAAATAATTGGACCAAAAATCAAACAGTTTCTCATTCAATCTAGTTGTGAGTTTTCTCTTTTCTCTTATTTTTTTAAGGTTTTAACTTTCAATTTTTATATGCTTTTTCTTTTTCTAATCCGTTTTTAACTGAAGTTCAGACCAGACAGATATAGACCGAATACTTCGGTTCAGAAAAGCTAAAACTGAATACTGTTGGTTATCCAGTCCGGTCCAATATAATCCAAAGTCACTGGTCCAATTCAGTACAAGTAATTAAAGAGGCAAACCAAGAGTACCTTGGAGAAGAAAGCATATATAGAGTAATTCCATAATATAACCCAAATCAAAAAGTTTAAACAGAATTTGAGCAAACGAAATTATCTGTAAAATTGAAAATCTTCCACATTTTCTTCAACAGAAAGTTGTGTCAAAACACTCAGAAACTGTAGCTACGAAATAATGTCATCTTGGACACTGACAGAACTGCAAAGACAAAAATAGTTTAACGTTTGTATTTCTATATCCATGAAATTCAATTTTATTTGCAGCGGAAGAAAAAAAGATCCGCAAATGCAACTCAAACAAAAGTTTAGAATCTCCCCCCCCCCCCCCCCATTTTATTTCCTATTTCAAAGAGAAATCAACGTTGCTACCAACAAAATGCTCCCAACATTAGGAATGGAGCAGAATAACAGCTGCAGCTTCAGCTTGTACCGTTAAAGAGTGTCACTTGACTGCCTATTCGATCCATTGCTCACTGAAATTCAGCTACGACCATAAATTAAGATTTGCAGCCGCAATCTTTTGGACTTGGTGCAGAAAGATCTAATTTACTCCAGGGGAATTATGGTAAAAGAGGGGGAAGCTAAAATATACAAATACTTAATGTTTCTTCAAATGCCTAAACTTCCAACTTTCAAGGCTCCTCCACCTCAGCATACTGGGAATGAGAGGCTGCCAGGAGGGCAGCTCCAATGCCAGACCCATCATTGGAGTGCTCAATGACAACGTTCTCAGAAACTTCACCTCCTAGCAACTCTCTGAGTGTGGCCTCCATGCAGACACTGAATTTAGTGTAATGCTCAAACAACCCACCATCCATTGCTATCACTGACCTCTGATTTTCACCATCTTTTACAGTATCTTTTCCCAATTTCTTGAGGATGCCCACAACTCCAGCAGCAGCTAGTTGGGCACCACGGCTTGCAGTAATTTCACAGAGCTGAACAATGACTTTTCTCATTTTCAGGGAGGTATTAGAAATCTGGGACAAAAAGAATGGTAACACATTAGAAACTCGTCAAGTTGTTTTTGTCTTCTTCCGTCAGTAACAATTTCAGAAGGCAGAAAAGTTTGGTAAATATCTTTTGAAGAAGGAATGCTTTCTGTCTGTTATCCAGTGCCAGATATCCACCTAATATCACAGTGCTTTCCACTTTTAAGAGAATTTAAGGGTTTTATTCTTTTCCTCTCAGGATTCAAATGTTAGGACCTAGAACAATAAGAGTAAAGAATAGATTTGAAGTGCTCAACACATATACTGCTACTAACAGCATGATCAGAGTGTACCTCCAATATATCCTTCAGTTTGCTTCCTACCACTCTTAAATCTGGAGAAGTGTCGTGATGCATGGCAGACATGTGAGGAGTCCTGCATTGCAGTAACAGTTAACAGTTAAGAAAACTGTTAATTGATATGCTACTTACAAAAAACTATAATAATGCATTCAGAAACTTTACATGTTAAAAACACAAAAACTCAAAATGGACCTACATAAGTAGCATGCTTCTCAGGAACATCCAAATAATCAAGATGTAGAAATCAGGTTAAGTTCATTTCGGGTTCAACATACAGAGAGTTGGGAGGTTAGGCTCAGGTTAGCGATGTCGATGCCATTGCAGTACTCAAGACTGCTCTCAGGTGCTAGAGGTCCATATAAAAATAAGTCATCAACTTAATCGGCATATAGAAGTATGCACCCTCTCTTTCTTGAGTAGGTACTCATGTTATGAAGCTTAACCATTAATGACCTACCAGCTAGTTACTTGAGTGGTTAGTACCTAGCCAGTAACGGTCAGGAGTTGAGCTGGAAAGGAATCTAATGTCTTGCATTATATTATTTCCAACCAAAGATAACAGATACGATCTATAGTTTCTTTCTTTGAGCTAACATCTTGCAAATTGTTGCATGTAAATTTTACATTTTTCTTTTTTGATTTTTTTCAAAAGGGGAAAAAGAAAATAAGTGTGAGGAGAAATGACAAAAAAAATTGTGGATAATTTAATTTGGAAGGAAAAAATCGAAACTAGAGTTCATTTAGTCAAGGTGCTAGAAAATAAGTTATAGAATAGCCTAATATCTAGCAAAGCTTAAAGGTATTTTATTTTACAAATCTACCTAGAATGTCGGATTTAGTGTTTGACACAGCAAGGGAAAGCGGTTCTTAGTTGTCGGGAACAAAAAATTAATTCAACAGTGTGGCCACAATATCAGATCAGTATCATCATGTTAATAAACTAATAAAACGATCTGAATTATGTGAAATAAATATTATACTTTCTGAGAAGATTACATATATATATAAAATAAAAATGGTATGTAATAAATTCAGCCATTACGGAAAGAGGTGTCTTAAATCACTATTTAGGGACGGAAGAGTCTTCCTGAATGGCAATTAAGCTAGGAAGATAAAGGAATAATACCTTAATATGAATGGAATTTTCAGTTTTGGTGGAACTGTATCGCCAAAGAAGGCAGCTTCCTCAGCCATTTTGCAAAGAACTCTGCGCAATATCTCTCCCAAATACATACCAGAAATTAATTTTTCAAAAATCTGCAAGCAGGAGTTAATAAAGGGTCACCACTCCATTTATTACTATACTATAGATCAGCTACTGGAAGTGACGGGCTAACCTGTTCTCCCGGGTTCAAACTCTCAGCATCCAGTGCTTGATCATATTCTGTTAACGGAAGATGAGATGACCTGAAATTTCCCCATTCCATGTTGATCACCTAAATCAAGTAAAAGGATATTACGTAAGCACTTTCACCTTGATATTGAGCTCATTCCAGAGAACTTCAGCTCTCACAGAAAACTCAATACTGAAGGACAATACCCTTCCAACTGCAAGTAAGTAATAGTAGACAAAGAAGATCCACAAAGTACCATGTCCCCTGATTTAGGTAGTAGACCGTGCCATTTTGGAATTGCATGGGCACGCTCAACATATGCTGCATTTGTGCCAGTACCCAAAATTACTGCAGCAATGACATCCTGGTTGGAGTATCTACCACCGGCTAGTGTTCCAATTGTATCATTAACCTGTGTACCAGGTAAGCAGGTTAGGGAAATGAATTCAAAACATGTAAATGACTTAGAAAGTACCAAAAGAAGTTTAATGCAGTTGGCAATCTGCTAGTAGCAAAAACTCTCAATACATCCATCTGAGGTGGAAGAGAAACAAAGCATTTCAGCATAGAATCACACTAACCAAAGCTGAAACACGCATATCAAGCCCAATTCGTTCCATGGCTTTGGTCAGTTCTCCTACCACATCTTGTCCAACCTATAGAGATAGCAGGCAAGAAATAGTCAGAAGAGACATTGGAAATATGGAGAAAAATCGTCATAATAAATATAATACAGAAAAGAAACCACTTTTAACTATTCTCCAACACAAGCAATTTCATATTGGAACTACAACTTGCATAAATCAAAGAAAATTAACATTAAGCAGAATTAAGATGTTGAAGACAAAAGCATTATTTACAAAGAGTAACAATTGCAAGGCATAATGCTCAAATACAAACACTTCCATTCTAGAAGGTTTATCTCAGAAGTTAGGTGGAGTTTGATAGTATATTATATCAGAATGCCCTTTAGTTAATGACTATTCAGAAATTTGACAGTAAATTTTTTCTACCTTATATCCTTCAATACTTATACCTCCTTTCAACAGTGTGCACAAAAAACAATAATCAACTAGTAATTATCAGGTCAATGAAAGTAGTAATCTTTGTAAAATCTTTTAAGGAGTTATAGGAAAGCCACAACACAAGAAAAAAGGTGGGATTTGCATACACTGCTTCTTTGTGTTCTTGGGGGTGGGTTCAACAGAGAGTTAAAGACCAGAAACACCATAAACAACTGTGTGTAACAACCACATGATCAATACAAATGACAGCAAAGCTGGAGATAAGGCACTTAGGATTACCGTATCTTCTATAGAGAATCCCTTTGTCCACTTTATAAGAGTCCCTGATGCAATTGATGTTTGTCTAACTGGAAATGAGAAGGTAAAACCCAATTCCCTTTGTCTACCTGGGGAAAGATGGAAGCCTTCACCTTCAGTTGCAACAAATCTTGCAAGTGCATCAGCAATGTAGTCGAATAATGCCTGAAAGTCACCATAGACAACAAGAATTTAGAGTCAATCTACACCACAAAAATTTCATCAGATAGATCAGGAAAGCCACTTACCTCAGAAGTTCCTGTCATCAAATGAGGAGGGATTGAAACTTCCTCAAATTCTTGTTTAGCGACACTGCCTTCCTTGCCACCTAATTGTACACGTAAAACTCGGAAGTTCGTGCCCCCAAGATCCAGTGCATAAAACAATCCTTTTTCATCCCTGTAGAATTAAGGATGAAAATCATGAGCATGCTTAGCTTGGACTGATTCATCAGCGTAGAAGATGGAGAAAATGACTTCTTTAAACAATCTTTTTACCAGTTCCAGTAAAATCTTCTCTTATTTGAGAAAGTGCAACTATCCCTCAAGATATAATGATATAAGTTGTTGCCGGAGATCATTCAACAGCAGAAATCTACTAAACAATCACTCAGAAAAAAATGATGCCTCCCAGCCCTATCTGTGACTATCTAACCAAATGTGAATTAACCAAAGCTAACAATGAGTTACTTCTTCTATATTAATGAACCTAATGAAGGGATTGCTAAAAAAGAAAATTGTAAAGGAAGAAACAGAGAACTTCCAGATAGAGTAAATAGAAAATAAGCCCCTAACACGTAAAACATATACAAGATGGCCACATCTCGTTTAAGTAAGATCAATCACGACAGTTAAGGAAGAAACTTTAAAAGTCTATCCAATCTGCATGGGAGACAACCCAATCTGTCAAAATACGACGGATTATTCTCTTATCTCACGTAACCTATTTACTTTATTAAACCAAATCAACACTTTAAAACATAGCTAATATAGAAGGAATAAATACATTAGAATTTTCATAACAGTACATGATGACTAAAAGGCTAAATGCAATGGATCAAGGGGGGCACCGAACAGGTTTAAAAGGGAAAGTGTGAGTTTGGTTAACTTATATCAAAAGATAAGAGAATAATCCAACAAAATAAAGCAAAAGGTGCATGCAGGACAAGCGATGAGGAAAAGAGAGAATATAATAAGTAATAGTCAACAAGTTAAAACTTCAGGGATCAACCAAACAAGAGTGATGCCTCTAATAGAGGAAACGAAAGAACGGAATAACTTTTTCCTTGAGGGAGAGAAAATAACTTACCGAGGCAAATAATGCTAGATTTACCAGACACCATAAAAAAGTATTAAGTAAATTCAATAAGTTGACTCAATGTAATTCTAGAAAAAGAAAATTCGACAAACAATCAAGCCACGCAAATCAGCACTATTAGCAATCAGAAAAACAAAAAATATCAACTAATCGGCAAGGCAGAAGAAATTAGAAAAGTTGTAAAAATTTATTCTCAAAATCAACTTGAGTTACATGAATGCATAGGACAACCAAAACTAAAAGGACATAGCAAATTATAAATAAGAACAAATAAAAATTCTCAGACGAGAACAGATACAAACAGATGATAAATTTGGAGCAAGGCATTTTCTTACTAATTGATATGGATTAAAATACTACGAAAGACGAGTTAGTACACAACATAAAACCCGTTTGTGTTACAAGAAAAAGAGTCAATGATTCAATAACCATTAGAAATTTTGAAATATATTCAACATGATTTCGCCAAAGCAATCAAAATCTTCGAATTTATTTATTAATCGCACTCGAAACACTAGAATTCTGTTTTCCCCAATCAAAGCGTTTCCTTTATCAACTCAAGATTAATGCATCAAGCACTTAATTAATTGAATTTAGGAAAAAAAGAACCAAAGGGATAAAGAGATAACATTACCCAGTGGGAAGATTATCGACATAGCTGATGATCATCTTAAGCTTGCTGCCACCCTCGGATGCGAGTCCGGCATGCATCTCAACGGTCATGGCGTCAGCCACCTGTTTGAGCTTCGCAATGGGCGTCCCAGACTTCTCCTCAAAGTCCTTGAGTATGGCCATAACCTTGGCCCACCTTCCCGAGCTCCGCATCTGGTGACGCACCAAGAGCGCCGCTGCTGCACATGCCGCAGCCGCGCAAACTACCGCTGTCCCGACCGCCACCTTCCCCATAGCACCGCCGCGGCCGATAAAGACGAATCGAACGATGAAAACTAAAAGGAATGACCTTTTCCTCTCTCTCTCTCTCTCTCTCTCTCTCTCTCCCTTGTTGAACGGCAGCAGTGGATTGGCTTTGATTTAGTTTAAGAAAACGAGGCTGATAGAAACATATATAGTGATATATATATAGAATGAGAGTTAGATTAGGAGTAAACAGGAGGAGAAACCCTAGATTGATGGCGAGGATTTAATGAAAAATTGTATCAAGTACGAGTTCGTCTCTCGTTCGGAAAACAAAGAAACAATAGAAAAAAAAAAAAAAAAAGAGAAGAGAGTCGGAGGCAGATTGATTTTATTAGCAGAAAAAAAGAATAATGTTTGGATGAAGAATTGGGAATTGGAGAGGGAAGATAATGTTAATGTTAGAGAAAGTGGTCACCCATTTGGATTATAATTACGATTGTGTCAGCTTCTTCCAGGACTTGCTGTACTTTTGTTCTTTCATAACCCTCACGTGTAAATCTACTCCAAAAACGGTTTGTTTTGATTTCTAAATTTCTACTTCCATTTTTTTAGTTCTATTTATATATATATATATATATAATACAATTGGCATGGATTATTGTTTTAAAGTCAACGATTGTGGGTTTTTTTAATTCAACAAAAAATTTGGGATGAACTTGATTTTATTGGTGGGTAAATTTGTGAAGGAGAAAATTGCAATCTAAGCATGGAAGATGTTGAGAGATAAAAGTTGGATTTCAAAATAAGGCAATGCAAATGCGTGTAAAATATTGACAAACCATTTTAACAAATATAATAAACATACTTTTTTTGTTTCCACATATTAAATTCTTCATCAAATCTTTATCAATAACTAAAAACGTTATCATAATTCTTCAAATTTTGGTAATTTTCTAATACTGAATTCACATTTCTCAGGTCTTAATTTAATGATATAAATTGTATTAAAAGTCTTATTTAATAAAATAAAATAAAAAATCAATTTGAAAAGGTAAGACTTATGATGAATTAATTCGATAGTAAATTGGAGTTTATGAAATAAGTAGCCTGTAACCCAGCAGCTAATAATGATTGATACAAGTTGGTGGGTTGCCAACTATGACAAAATATGTACATACAATATATATATATATATATATATGTAAAAGACATAGATGTATGTAAGAGGGTTTTAAGGGTTAAAAGGAAGTCTATCCCTTCTCTGGAACTTGTATTACCTGGAGGTGAGTTCCATAAAGGCTGGAATCTCAAAAAGCAGATCAGATCAGATTTAGAACACGCGTCTCTCAAATCTAACGTTAATGTTGCATTCCTGTCTTAAACCCACTTTATCTTGTCTTTCTTTCACTTCAACCCTCTCAACTCCACTCCATCTTACTTTTCCTTTTTTTTTTTTTTTTTTTTGTTTTGGTTCTATTGAACTACTCATCACATGGGGGAAAACAATTCAAGGCACCCAAATCTTTATCCTTTCTGAAAGAGGTAACCAAGTATTTTCTTTTTCTTTTTCATAAAAGGTTTCTTTAATACAAAACAAAATATTATGTTATATATTCCCTTCCAACACTCGATCACTTCATCCCAACTAGTAATTGGTAAAACTCTAGTTCTTGGGTGGTTTGATCACTTAATGAAATAAATAAAAAGACAATTTTTCTCCAAAGGGTATTATTAAAGTAAAGAAATAAATGGTATATATTCATCATGATCTTTATTATGATTATTATGCTTCATGTTGGGTGAGTTAGTTAAGAGTCTAATCAGAATAGCAAAAGCTTATCTAGATAACTCTGCCTGGTTAGGAACTACAGGCACTAAAAAATTCCCATGTAAGGAATCAATAACTCTGAAGTTCCCTTTACACCCTTCTTCTTGTGCCTGTGCCACTGCAAAATTTTTTACTTCTTCAATGTCCTGTAGTTATATAATCATCACACTCAGGCCATATATGTGTATGCATATATTATATTCATTACTTTTCTTATATTCAGTAGGAAAATACGACATTCAAATAAATTGCAATTGCTCTCACCTTTAAGTATCCTGTTGCTCTTGCAGCCATCGCTTTCTTCTCAGTCTCCCAATGGTGTGTCCTGCATCATCATATTAAAACTCTGTCAATTTGTAACAAAAATAATGCAGAAATTAACAAGTCACATGTTTTCTTATTTAGTCGAATGCTTTTCCTGTTATTAATTATTTGAGTAAGTCAATTACTTAGTCGTAGTCTTGTGGTTAGTGGGTAAGTGTCGGATATTTAAGGGATGTGTTTATCTATTTACTAAATTAGTGAAATTGTGGTTGCAGCGTGTATAAATTTGCCGGCCGAGAATAATCCAAGTGTATTAGTTCTTCAGCATTTTTGTTTTCTGCCCATAAACTGTTTGATAAAATTCCTAAGCAAATTTTCTAATTTGCCACTCTGCCTCTCTTGATTTTGTAGTCGAAGAGAAGCTCTTTGTTTATTCATAACCAGAATTTAAACTAACACAATTTCACAACTTGCTTGCAAAATATCAAAACCTATTTTGCAGTCAAGAATTTTCTAACTTGTTGCTCTGCTTCTCTTGATTTTTGCAGTCAAGAGGAGAAGATCTTTATTTATTCATAACCAGAATTTAAATTAACACAATTTCACAACTTGCTTGCCAAATATCAAAACCTACTTTTGCATATCATCTACAAACTACCATCCTCCATTTTTGGGGAACACAGCAGGAAGGGGTTTTTCGAAACCTTACCCTATCTTTCCATATAAACATACTTAAACAACCAGTAAAATTCAAGGAATGATATAATACAAAAGTATTATTGAACATGTTAATATCAATAATATGAAAAAGAATTGCTGAACAATCCCAAACCTATTTTGAAAGAAACCAAGGTCTCTTTCGAATTCCACATAATAAACAGATAAATTTCTAGTCATAATCACAGACTTCATCTAATAATAAACAACTAAACCAAAAATTAGGGAAATACTTTTCTTTTCTGCCAAACAGCAAGTAATTTTTTGGGTTGATATCATCAGACAAAAAGATGAGTAAATCTTAAAATACAATTAGAAGGCGAGAAGAGGCTAACCCTTTAGCGAACTCACGATCTATCCTTCTCCTCTTGGGTTCAGATGCCATGAACGCAGGAGAGCTTACTGCCTTTCGCTTTCAACACAATAAAATCTGCAGGGGTTTAAAGATGAATCATCAGCCGTTCAAAATCAAATCTGAATTTCAAGTGGGACCCAAGAAGACATTAGCGTCTGTGATTGCAAACGAAGAATTTGGCATATCAGAAGATCAAATGGCTAAGATTTTATGGACCGAACAAATCAATTTTAAAGTTCAGATATGGTCTCAGGCCTAAATTAGTGATCCAATTTAAAAATTAAGATGGCCCATTCTAAACCCAAGAACACTTATTTAATTCATTTTCACTCAGGTATTTTTATTAATAAATAGAAATTAAATTAAACTAATTTAATATTTTACATGATATTTATGATATATTTAGACATTTTTTAGGATATAATTGCTGATATCTGCAATTTTTCGAGTAAAAAATGCTATATAAAGTTGATCTTTTATTTTTTGAAATAATTAAGCCTTTGATCAACAACCTACGCCCAAATGTAAAATTAATTTGAAACTGAAAACAATACTTTTATCCAGTTTTCTGCTTCATTTATTTTTATTTATGTTTCAATAAATTAGAATTTGAATTAAACTCAACATTTCAACTTTATTTATCATATAAAATGTCTATAGTATAATTGGTGTTATCATTTGCATTTTGGCATGATAAAATTGCTATAATCGCTACTCAACAAAATTTCAAATGCTATCCTTCTTTTTCTGTTTAAAGGGTGACATCTTCGATAATTTAATCTTAACAACGTATTTTTATACGGAGACTTGAACGAAGAGATATATATGGAGTTGCCACCAAGATACCCTAATGAAGGAAGGTCAAGAGTACGTAAACTGATGAAAATCATATAAGGATTGAAGCAACCTTCATGTAAATGGTATACTGAGTTGTCATCGTTCATTCTTCAGTAGACCTTCATGTAAATGATATGAAAGACATCAAATACGTTTTTAGGATAGAAGTGACATTATTCAAGAATGAAATTCATATATGTAGAAGAAAATATGTTTTAGATTCGTTGATTGAAACAAGGACATTGAGTGGCTTTAAAGTTATCACTAAATCAGAATCTCATGCTATCAATAGAAGATGGTGAACTAATTTCTGATGCAATCAGTTATAAAAGGCTCTAACTCTTATGAAACTAAATCTATCATATTTAATATAGCTACTGAGTTAATTCAAGAAATGTCCACGTAATTAATATCTTAATGCTACTTACAATGTGCTCACGTATGTCAAAGTCACGACGAGATATGAGTTATTTTACTCATTTTCTTCATAATTATACATCAAGACCTATTAGGATAATGATTGGGGAGCTTGCGTTGATACACGTAAGTCTATCATAAGATATTATATCCTTCTTGAAACGTCTTTGATTTCTTAAAAATCAAAGAAGCAATCAATTATGTCACCATTATCCACTAAGGCAGGATACCAAACAATTGTTGCAATTAGTTGGGAAATAACCTGGATAAGGTACCTACTATCAGATTTGGAAGCTGAACACCCATAAGTTATAATTTTATATTATGATAATAAAACTATCTTGCACATTGTAGACAATCCAGTTTATCATAAAAGAACAAAATACAAAAAGTTAGATTGTCATTTGATTCATGAGAGGATCTAAGATAAAAGTTTAATGATAGAACATGTTAGGTGCTCCAAGTTACAAAAGCCTTGACTAAGCCATTGTTGGTGGCATTATTCCATTTGCACATGTCCAAGATGGGAATAAGAAACATCAACTCTCTATGGAGGGCAGATGTGGGGGAAAGGAGCTGACTCACGGAGTTTGACGGAGCCCCACAGGGGATCCACGTGTGTACGTGTATATAATGTATATAAATGTGTATTTATACAAAAGACACTGTTTGCATTTAAAATTTTGATGATGATATATTTGTATACTTGCGTAATGTAGGTACATTAGTTTCTTCCCCATATGTATGTATATATATTTATATATATCCTTCACTTATTATATTGATGATCGTAAGAAGGAAAAAAAATTCTAGAGGCGACCTATTAAGATTTCTATCCTTTCAAATCACCTCTGTCTCCTTCCTTGCTCCGTAGTTCATTTTATAGTTGATTATTTTCATCGTTTTTTTGTAAATTCTTCTCTGAAGTAAACTAGGTATATTCTATTGCAAAAATAATTTATAAAATATATAAATTTTTATTTATGACGTTAGCTGAATAGTATTCTTATTGTATTTTGCTATATATGTTATTGGAAAAATATATATGTAGAATCAATTTTTTCATGGGACTTAATTTTAACGAAGATAATTTTTAGATATCTATTTGTGGAGTGTAGTACT